TTATCAATTGTCATTTCAGAAAATATGTATTATATTCAATATATTTGTAATGTAAATCTGGAAATTTTATGAAATGATCCATTCATCTTACATTTTGTTACATTACCTTTTAAGCAACTATTTGAAGGGATAAAAGACGACTATTCTTCTGATGTACCAAACATTTTATAAAAGATTATATCGAATGATTATGGATATAGCATTACCAAAAAACATCTAAATTGTTGTTTAGTTGAAACCGAACATGATGTATGCAACTATTATGCAAGAACCGGAAATGCTCAGACAAGATGAAAGCAAACTGTCGAGAAATACTGACAGACGATAGCAGGAACTCGAACATCGAGGGAAGCCTACTGAATTGGGGAGCTGCCGAGAATAATATATCTGTATAACAGCCAGCAGTGGTCGATGAGTTGAGGTCATCTAACTTGGCTGTAAAAAGAAAAGCAACGCAAGAAACGAGAATTGACACGAAGCCCGACAGATACATTTTTCTATTCGAGACTAAGTTTGCTATACATGTTTTTTTTTCTTTTTCAGCCGTTTGATGTTTTAAAGGAGTGTGCCACAGACCGGAATAAATGCGAAAAAATATTTTTCTACACAATGTATTTTCCTTGATCTACAGTCACTTTGCCCACTGCGAGATTTTATTTTTCGTTTGGCAGTAGTTCCATTTTCAACTTGCATTTGAATCTCAGCAGGCGTGTTCGATCCGGTGAATTCAACATGGCTAAAACCCTCATCGATTTCCACGGATATCGATGAGTTTTGTATTATATCAAAGTTTGCAAACATTGTGTTAACTCATAGAGAAGCATAAGATTTTCATTTGAAATAACTACTAAAGATTTAAAGACAATTTTCAGAAATAACTGCAAATACATTGAAAGGAACAATGAGAGAAAGTAACCTGCAACGGCCAATTAATGTACCATGTAGAAACTAACGTAAAAAAATTGTAACATTAGAAAATGAATAAACGTTTTGCTTTTTAATGTACACATTATTGCTAATCCAAAAGAATAGCTATCCTTTTCTTAAAGGTTTTATTACATTTAATAAATAAGACAGCTTATTATATGGAAGGGGCTGAAAATATTCTTATTTTATTATCCACTGTTTTAGCTTGGGATTATAAGCTTAAATGTAATTACAATAGCTGTAATGTAATCGATCCTTACTTGGCATTTCGTCTTCAGTGACTCTCCTATCACCACGATGTTACTTCCCTTTGTCTTCTCTATAAATATTTTCATGCCAATTGTTCAGATGAGTTTTCCTGCATGGTATCTCGACTGCATGGATGAAGCATACTACTAGATTGACAGCTACGTCTCTCTCACCGGTTTTACCTTTTTAATAATAACAGTGTCTTTTATTCTGATAGTTTTTTTCGCGAATGTATAACTCTGTTCCGAATTTTTGCTTGCACATACAATTTTCAAAATTTAAATTCAATATCAGTTGCCATCTTCCGTCTTCTATTCTTTTATTGCCGGTTTTCCACGATACAGTCTTCTCATTCTAATTCATTCCAAGTAATATATTGAGTTTTAGTGTTCTTATAGTCTTGTAAGATGGAAAAAAACAATTGTAGTTTTTTTTTTTTTTGGCAAGGCTGAAAGAAAAATGTGTTCACTGTCTATTTGTGTTTTAAATTTACATACATATATATGCAGCGAACTTTACAAGAATTTGTTGAAGTTTCTCTTCCTGCAATCATATCCACGAAGAAGAAAAGTAATACAAAATGTCAAATGAATAATTGACCAATAACATATAACTTATTTACGTTAATTGCTTATACTTTCTTCTAAAAGTGAGAGAGAGATAGAGAAATAGAGAGAATGGGATATATATATATATATATATATATATATATATATATATATATATATATATATATAGAGAGAGAGAGAGAGAGAGAGAGAGAGAGAGAGAGGCCCAGTATCATTGATGTATGTTTGTGCAGTATCAGATAGGATGTGTTGATAATGCCACTCATATGGGCACCAAAAGTAGGTTCTGCGAGTGGATCGCAAGATTTTCCTTTGGTAAAAGATGCAACAATTTTCTTTTACACCCAGTTTTGTGTTAAATAGTATAGTAGAGTGAGTTCTATAGCTTTAGGAAATAGCCAGTCCAAGAAAAGGAATAACTCTGAATTCAAAATCCTGCAGGAGTCAACGTGCACATATTTAATGTCCTGCTCAAGACCTCATGGCAATTTACAGATAATAAAGGCAAAAATGTTTGCAGAAAATCGGCCAGGGACGTTCGGAAGAGACAGATCATTAAAAAATTTAAATGAACATTGAAGTCAACATTCAGCCTCTGAGTACTGACGTCAATGTTCACTTTTATATTTACATACGCTCTATCCCTGATACTGGACACTTTATCCCATAAATATAGCATAACTTAAAATTATATTTCTTCGTATATATATATATATATATATATATATATATATATATATATATATATATATATATATATATATATATATATTATTTATTATTATATATAATGGACACTGAGTTAAACACTGGGTGGCGGCAGTGTTGCATTGCAGCTCAGACCAGACACCAAGTTCATTGACAGGGTGCAGTTTATTTCAGTCAAACGCTTGTGGCTTAAAAATTAACATTCGCCCAGATCGTTACCCGCGAATGAGAACAAATCTAAATTTCTAGCAGTTAAACCAGATTTTGTTCCTAGGTAGTAACTTAGTACTATAAGAGAGCGAAGGCGGCTTGAGGTTTAGCGAGGCGGGGAACTGCGCAGTTCAGTAACTGTCGTCTATATTTTTCTGCTTGGCTCGTGTCGTTCCCTCTGTTTGCCTTTGCGCGGGATGGTCAGATTTATAAACCAACGTTTTCTTTGTCCTGTCATCTTCGTCCAAAATCTATAATATTACTATAAATCTGTAATTAATCTTTCATACGTCTCTTTCAGTCTGTGTCTACAGCTCCAATTACTGATAGTCATCAGTGGAAAGTAGGAAGTTGTTTTAAAATTAACTCATATTCCTACAGCAGTCTGTTTCATGCTTCAACGCAATCTTCATGTCCTTGAAAACTGCGTTGAAGCAGGAAACAGAATGTCGTAGCTTAGTCTTCAACTCAGTGTCCATTTATATTATATATTTATTTTTACATACGTTTTATTTGTAATATTGAACAATTTCCCCTATAATTATAGCATACATTAAAACTGTATTTCATCATATATATATATATATATATATATATATATATATATATATGAAGATAAAATAAAAATAGCAGGCAATAAATTAAATAAAGGTCACACATCTATTCGATAAACTGAATGATCAGAGGGAAGATTATGGAGATTGAAGGTTAATTAAACACAAAATCATTTATTGTTTTCACGAATACTTTTCGCTAAAATGTAACCGAAAATGATGTTTGAGATATTCTATCTCTCCTGTGGCTGAGTTAAAATTATCAGCCACAATTCCATAAAATAACATGAGAACAATTTGTTGCAAACATTATTTAAATAGAAAAAAAAATACCCAACTGGAAAAAAAAATCTTTTCATTCTGTCCACCCCGCGCCCGTTTTCATTTCGTTGCATTTGCCTATTGGTATGAAAACACCGGCGATGTCATCTAATGCATCGTAAATATAACGTCGGTGCAATAATGCCGATTGGGTGAAAAATAAAAGGAAAATAACGTACACTTATTGTTTTTGGAAGCAACGATTCAAAAGTCAGATGCGTGTAACTTTCGCGCCAATTCAACAATTTATCATAAGGATTTGTTATCAGCAAAACAGACATGTTTAAAATGAAGGAATGCAAATAAAACAAAAAGTATCCTGGAAAGAAAATAAACGGATGATGGTCTTACAGGTCTATCAATATACTGAAAGTGTATCGGTAAAAGCAGACCCCAGTTCTTCCAATACAGTTTTAAATCTCTTTTTTATGCATGTCTGTCGTTTTTTTTTTTTGTTTTCTCTCATGAGTGGATTTCTTTTATTTTGTTCATTTTGTTAATCGAATCGTTTGTTTTATGTCCCTTTTTATTCCAACGCGCCTGTTTCTCTTTTTTTTTCTGTATTATTAATTTTCTTCATTGACATTATTTATATTTTTTAAACATTTTGTAATTTTCCTACTCTTTTTCTGTACTTCCCATTTTTTATTTCTTTTCTTTTTCTCTTAGTTTTCTCATTCAGCTTTTTCCTTGCTCTCTTTTCTCTATTTCATCTTAGCCGTCTTTCAGAATTTTTCGCTCTGTATTAGTCTTTCGTCTTATATATATTTTAAAACACTTTGTCAATTTTATTTTCTGCATTACTTCCGGTAATAGGTTTTCTCCATGTTTTTATCATGTCCTTTTTTTTTTTTTTGATTTTTTACTTCAGGTGGACACATTTATTTTTTTTAACATTAGTCTTTTCTTTTGATTTATCAAGTTACAACTTACAACTAGTGTTCCTCAACTTACTTTCTCTCTTCATATTTATTTCCCAGCTTTGTTTAAACCCATCAGACATTTACCATTCTTTCTTATTTATTTTATTTTATTAATTATTTTCTGTACTTTATTTTTCTTCATATTACTGTTTTATAAAAGCCATTTGCTTTATTTTTAATATATTCTGTTATTTTCCTTTTTCGGTTTTACCAGTATTTATTCTTTGGAGACACGAGAATTTCTTTCTTTTCATTTTAACTGTTATTAATAATCTCTTTTATTTCTTATGTTTCAATTTCTTCTTTTTTATGACAAGTTTTCATTATGTTATTTATTTTATTCATGAGATAATTTTTCGCTTTTTTTGCCTTCTTTGCTTTTGATTTTGAAAAAAAGTCTGTGTTTCAGTCCCTTTTATACTGTCTTTCCCACATTTACGAATTCCATTATTTTCTTTTTTTAACTCCTGATATTCTAAACACTTACTTTTAATTTTACATTCAAATTTTCGGTTTTACTTTTCAATTTTATTAGACAGTGATAACATCTTTCTTTCTTTCTTTCTTTCTTTCTTTTTTTCTTTCTTTCTTCGACAGTTTTTGCATCATTTCTTTATGCATTTATTTTCAACTTTCTCTGTGGCAGCATATTATGTTTCATTATTTCTCTTGAACAGTATATTATGTTTCTTTGTTTCTTCTTTGTCTTGAGCAGTTTTGCCATTTTCCGTTTTTCTTCTTCAGCTGTGTAATTGTTTTTTTTTATTTATTTCTTCATCCTCGAACATTTTTATCACTTTCTTTCTTACTTTATTTTCTTCTTCCTTTTGCGCAATATAACATGTTTCTTTATTTCTTTTTTATTTATTTATTCCTTCTTTTCATCGGCTGTTTTAGCATCATTTTCATTCTTCTTTCTTTCTTTCCTTCTTTTCATCGGTTGTATTAGCATCATTTTCATTCTTTCTTAATTTCTTTCCTTCTTTTCATCGGTTGTATTAGCATCATTTTCATTCTTTCTTAATTTCTTTCCTTCTTTTCATCGGTTGTATTAGCATCATTTTCATTCTTTCTTAATTTTTTCCTTCTTTTCATCGGTTGTATTAGCACCATTTTCATTCTTTTCTTAATTTCTTTCCTTCTTTTCATCGGTTGTATTAGCATCATTTTCATTCTTTCTTAATTTCTTTCCTTCTTTTCATCGGTTGTATTAGCATCATTTTCATTCTTTCTTAATTTCTTTCCTTTTTTTCATCGGTTGTATTAGCATTTTTCATTCTTTCTTAATTTTTTCCTTCTTTTCATCGGTTGTATTAGCATCATTTTCATTCTTTTTTTAATTTCTTTCCTTCTTTTCATCGGTTGTATTAGCATCATTTTCATTCTTTCTTAATTTCTTTCCTTCTTTTCATCGGTTGTATTAGCATCATTTTCATTCTTTCTTAATTTCTTTCCTTCTTTTCATCGGTTGTATTAGCATCATTTTCATTCTTTCTTAATTTCTTTCCTTCTTTTCATCTTGTATTAGCATTTTTCATTCTTTCTTAATTTCTTTCCTTCTTTTCATCGGTTGTATTAGCATCATTTTCATTCTTTCTTTCTTTCTTTCCTTCTTTTCATCGGTTGTATTAGCATCATTTTCATTCTTCTTTCTTTCTTTCCTTCTTTTCATCGGTTGTATTAGCATCATTTTCATTCTTCTTTCTTTCTTTCCTTCTTTTCATCGGTTGTATTAGCATCATTTTCATTCTTTCTTAATTTCTTTCCTTCTTTTCATCGGTTGTATTAGCATCATTTTCATTCTTTCTTAATTTCTTTCCTTCTTTTCATCATTCTTCTTTCTTAATTTCTTTCCTTCTTTTCATCGGTTGTATTAGCATCATTTTCATTCTTTCTTAATTTCTTTCCTTCTTTTCATCGGTTGTATTAGCATCATTTTCATTCTTTCTTAATTTCTTTCCTTCTTTTCATCGGTTGTATTAGCATCATTTCATTCTTTCTTAATTTCTTTCCTTCTTTTCATCGGTTGTATTAGCATCATTTTCATTCTTTCTTAATTTCTTTCCTTCTTTTCATCGGTTGTATTAGCATCATTTTCATTCTTTCTTAATTTCTTTCTTTCAATCTTTTTGCACTGTATAATATAATTATTTCCTTCTTTTTTTTCCCATTCATTCTTCTTGAGCAGTTTTCTCATCTTCCGTTCTTTCTTCATCAGCTGTGTAATTGTATTTTGTTTATTTCTTCATTCTCGAACAGTTTTATCACTTTCTTTCTTTCTTCATTTTCTTCTTCCTGTTTCTTTCTTTATTTATTCTTTATTTTCATCGGTTTTTCTAGCATCATTTTCTTTCTTTCTTAATTTCTTTCTTTTATTCTTCTTCTTGGACTGTATAATATCATTATTTCTTTCTTTTGAACAATATATGAGTTTGTTTTCTTTAGCATAATACCAGCCTTTCTTAATATCCCTTGAGCAGTATATACTTGTATGTTCTTTCCTTGTTTCTTTCGCTTGGACATTATGATATGCTTCTTTTTTTCTTCCTGGGCATTTTTAGCATATTTTTCTTTCTTTCGTTTTCTTTAACACTATAACCGGATTCTTTATTTCTTTCTTTCTTTGACAGTCTGAATACGTTCCTGGCTAGTTTCCTTTTGTTTCTTGTTTCCCACACTACTTCGACAGATTTGCAGACTTAAAGAAAGACCAATATCAGTTGACAAATGAACACAAAGCAAAAAAAATAAAGGACACATAAAATCTGTCAGGTAATTTTTCACAACGTAGAGTCGTTTCAAAATGGATCGAAGACGCCTTGTTTATTTGTTTAATTCTTATTACGCTTTTTTTTTTATCTCGTACAACACATAAAGTATCGGTGATTTTAGTGGATGCAAGAGTTACGTTTCTCATTCCTCATTTTGTGTAGCATCTTAGTCAACATATATAAGTGCGCACACATTTAAGGAGATAAATAGTTATACACAACCATATAAGGCGTCTACTAAAAAGAGATTTTTCGCAATCTCGTTAAAATTTGCTAGTATTGTGATTTCGTATTCGTTCTTAATTCCTTTGTGCAGAGTACTATAAAAAAAATTAAGAACGTTTATCAGTCCCCCACTATATGGCAGGGAATGATGGACAATCTCCTCGCAGATTAAGAAGAGACTTGAAGCAATAAAACGTATTTCTATAGAAAGATGCTGATATCACCATAGACCGAACATGTGATCATCGACCAAGTTTTAGAGAAAATGGGAACAAAAAGGACACATACATGACAACAGGTAGAGGCATTTGAAATTTCTACGACACATAAGGCAAGAGGACTTTGAATATTTGATACTCACTGGACAGGTTGAAGGGACAATGGAAAACAACGCAAAGGCTACCTAGCGCCTTGAATATGTGGATGGCGGTTCAAGATTTAGGAGAGATAACAAAAAGAAAAAAAATATTAAAAGTTATAAAGTGCAGGACATTATGTTGAGACATAATTACCAACATCCTCAAAGAACACGGCACATAGAAAAAAAAAAGTGATTTCGCTCATATGCGCAATAAAATGTTGACTTACGCCAGATTAAGCAACTCTTCGCAAATGACTATATTTATTCAGCCGTCGACTTATGTAATTATCCATATGTCTGTCTTTCTAGCGAGTTAGCTCACACAACTTTCATTTCCTTCATGAAATTTAAAATGCTTTTAGCTAAAATGTTATGTAGACAAATGCTCGCGTCGCGAAACATGATGTACATGTAACGATTCTTTTTGGTAATGGTGGCGTATACTATGAAGAAGGATGTCAAGCAAAATTTGTAAAAAATCAAAAATTATCAAGAGACATCATTAATGAAAGAGTTTCTGTACGAAAAGACTGGAGAATCCAGTCATTGACACACTATATATCAACGGGTTTAATAAAAGTGTAAAAACTATGGAGTCAAGATTCCACGTGAAACAACAGACGCCAACATTCCAATGGGATTAATTTATAAATCTAAAATATACAGATTCAATTTGCTTTAACAAAAATAAACGTAGTGTGTTTCAAATGATTTTTTAATAATGTTCATAAAATACAAGTCCCAAGAGCCACTCAAGGTAGAGGCTTACTGCGTCATGTTCTATGAATGTAAGTAAAAGCAAACAACTGCAGTTTATGAGATAAAGTAGGAAAGATAACGATTAACCCTAGATATGAATAGGTCAAGATTGTAGTGATCGGGAAAACATCCTGTCTGGAGTCTGATCCACGAAGTAATATCTTGGAAGAAGATGTCCGAGTTTAACATACTTCTTATTAATGGTATACGAAGATTTATCCTTGTATATCTGAAATGGTGGGGTCCAGCTGCAAATGACAGAGCCGGTGTCATGAAAATAGCGACAGAGCAGCAAGATGTTTATGATGCTTTGCTGTGGGAAATGTATTGTATGGTAGAAAATAATTACCCCCCCCCACAATAAAATATAGACGTCTTTGATCTCTTAAAAATCAGGCAAGTGATGACCGGCCAGCTCCATAAATTCTTAGATTTCTAACTAGTAGTTATATATATATATATATATATATATATATATATATATATATATTTTATATAATTAAAAAAAAAATTATAACATAAGTATGTTATAAAATCACTACAAAATAGCCATTTTGTTTCAACACACTCTGTTTTATCAAGTGATGATGTTGAAAATAAAAAAAAATGGTTTTAGAAACCTTATTTTATTTTCAACATCATCTACATACTTATGTGTCTTTTTATCAAAAAATAATGGTGTTAAAGTAAATAAATCTTTTTAAAATTGTTGGTTATTAATTAATTCGTATATACTGATTATATATATTTATATATATATATATATATATGGAAAATACAGTTGAATATGCATTATTAATGTCGGTTACCATAAATACTGTCTACTGAAAATAAAACCAATCAAAAAAGAAGCTACGAGAAAGATTCAAAAGCTTGACAACAAAACTCCATCGCTTTTATATTTTTGGATTTACATCTTTAAATATAAGAACGTTGTTTCCAATATCAAAATCATAATTTTTACTAACTAATAATTTTTTGGAAATCATAATACGTATATGATAAAATTTAATTTCATTAAAATTAAAAACTGGTTAATTTTTAAAAAAATCCAAATTTAATCACTCCGATTAAGTTTAAAATTAATAATGCATATTCAGAATTTTGTTTTTTCAAAATTATTGAGAAATATATAAAAAAATAAAAGTGACTCACCTGTTTATTCAATTCATTTAAAAAACCCTTCACCACCTTGAAAAGTTTACTCACCTAAGTCTGACAAGACAAAATGCTATTTCAATTCAATCCCAGGAATCATCTGATAATACATAATAGTATATATTTTTTTTTCCGTTTTTTTAACCCTTTTTGGCAAAGGTTTTGGAAATATGGTTCCATTAAACTCAAATCCTCTTTGTTGCTCACACAACAAAAACACAATCAGATTAGTTGAGATCAGGAGATTGGGGCGGTTATATATATATATATATATATATATATATATATATATATAACCCTTGCATCCAGACATAATTAGATACATTTGACACACACACACACACACACACACACACCCGTTGGAACACACACACACACACACACACACAAATATGGGACAAACACAACATTCTGTTGATTTCTTACACTCACACTTAACTAAAAAAAAAAAAAAAAGGAAGAGGTTTAAATTTGGGGGAATAATAACTGTGAACAATTATTTTAAAATTACCTTGATTACATTTGTAGATGTATTGTGATACCCTTTACTCAAAAAGATAACTATAAACTAACACATATATACATTTAACATTAGTTAAATGTTTTAGAATACACTTCCGTACATACACATAAACACCATTTAAACCAGCTATATACACAAACATACATCCACAATGGTACATAGAACATATTTGAGAAATCAAACCAGTAAATATTTCAGACTTAAATAAATGCTAACCACTTATTGAATTAAAACAGTATAAATTGTAATAAGGATTTTTTGTTTGTTTTTTCCAGGAGCAAATATATAAAGATAAAAATGTTTAAAATAATATTATTTAATATATTAAAAAACGAAAACTCTAAAACAATAAATATCAATAAATATATATATATATTATTAATCATATAAGTTTATAAATAATAGTTTCAATTATATATTTGGAAAGAAAAAACAGGATAAATAAAAAATGATTCTTCACCACAAATATATACATATATATATATATATATAATAGCACGGCAGCAAAAAAAAAAAAAATGTTGGATAACAAATTAACACTTCCCTACATAAAAAAAAAAAAAAAAAAAAAAACAATTTTTTAATTCGGCGTGATAAATATAAATATAAAATATAAATATTCGGGTTCTTCAGATTTTAATAAGCTTTAAATATATGATTAGTAAATATAGTTTTACTTAATAACAATATTCCTCATGAATTATTTTATCGAAATTGAACCTCAAAAGATTCAAAAACTTTATAATTTTTTCCATTTTAAATTGTAAAAATTGTAAAAATGAAAGAAGGTCTTGTAAAAATTCATTTTTCATCGAATTTTTTTTTCTTCAGACAATAATGTCTTTAATATATATTATTTATCAAAGCAATTAAATGCTTCTCTAATTAAATTTCTTTGTTTTATTTCGTTTTTTTTTTTTCGATGTTAGGATCTGATTTTGCAAAAAAAAAAAAATATCATTGATTTAAATTCATCGAAAATATCTGCTTTTAACTAATATAATCACTAAAAAGTAAATGATTTTCATCAAGCTTTCATAAAGTTAAAAAGGAGAAGAAACACATGTAAAATAAAAAAATCCTAGGTTTTTCTAATAAATATATTAAGAAATAATTCCATTCATTTGTGGATAAATCCTGAAAATTTCATTAAAATCCAACAATTATTTGATTTTCGCCAAAATTTCCAAATGAATGTATCTATTTGATATAAAAAAAATAATTTGGAATTTCTGCTATATTTATTGGAAAAGTTAATGCAAAATTTGTTTTCGCAAGAAAAATATGTATTTTTTAAAATAAAAATGTTCTAAAAAGAGGAAAAAATTTAATTAAATAGGGAAAATTACTTTGAAGCTTCTTTTTAATAATAACTTAATGATTTTGACGATAAAACTGTTTTCATTTCATTTTGAGCATGTTCTTATCATGGTATGCTGATTTTTTAATGATCTCGTGGAGGTACCTACATTTAATATATCGAATGGATCCCGTTTATTGTATATAAACATTTTTCTAAACATATTTTAATAAGCAAAATGATAGCGATTCATTTGTATTTTCCTCATGAATATCTATGGAACAGTTAATTCTATAATTTTTTTAAATATTCAAAAATGAAAGGAATTATGGTTTATATGTATTATATTATTTATCAAAGAAATTATGTTTTATTTCGTTTTTTATTTTTCGATGTTAGGATCATTAATATAAATCGCAAGTAAATACATATAAACTGTTTTCACATACAAGTTAAAAAAGGAGAAGACACACACAATAAAAAAAATATTTTC